TTGTTGATGTTTACATTGTTTATTGTTGATGTTTACATTGTTTATTGTTGATGTTTGTTGATGATGGTAGTATCTGAGAGTCTCTAAAAACAGGAAGTGGTCTTGATGTTTCAGGTATGAGATCCTGGCAGCTAACGCCATCCCTAAAGGCTTCATGGATGGAAAACAGGCATGCTGTCTGATGGTAACAGCTGCAGATGACCTTTTGTTTTTGTTTGTTTGTTTGTTCGTTTACAAACTGAGCTAATGCTGACCCATCTGCAGGTAAAACACCTGGATCTGGACCCGAACCTGTACCGCATCGGTCAGAGTAAGATGTTCTTCAGGACGGGCGTTTTGGCTCAGCTGGAGGAAGAGCGAGACCTGAAACTGACCGTGGTCATCATCGCCTTCCAGGCACAAGCCCGAGGCTTCTTGGCCAGAAAGTGAGAGCGAGATTTCAGGCCCCGCCCCCTGGTGTCACCTTCAGAGGATTCACATCTGCTTCCTGTTTTCAGGGCTTTCAGCAAACGTCAGCAGCAGCTGAGCGCCATGAAGGTCCTCCAGAGGAACTGTGCCTGTTACCTGAAACTGCGAGTCTGGCAGTGGTGGAGGCTCTTCACCAAGGTCCAGCATTACAACCAGAGCACACCTGAGAGCAGGACACACCTGAGAGCAGAGCACACCTGAGAGCAGGACACACCTGAGAGCAGGACACACCTGAGAGCAGGACACACCTGAGAGCAGAGCACACCTGAGAGCAGAACACACCTGAGAGCAGGACACACCTGAGAGCAGGACACACCTGAGAGAGGGGCACACCTGAGCTAACCCTCATGTCTGTGATCCAGGTCAAGCCCCTGCTGCAGGTGACCCGACAGGAGGAGGAAATGGGTCAGAAAGAGGAGGAGCTAAAAGCTGTGAGGGAGGTGGCGTTGAAGGCGGAGTCTGAGCTGAAGGACATCAGTCAGAAACACGCTCAGGTGAGTCAAAGCGTTTTTACCTGGAGACGTGGAGAAAGGTGAGGTCATTAAGGATGGAGGTCTGCTCCCAGCTGATGGAGGAGCGGTCACAGCTGGAGCTGAAGCTTCAGGCGGAGACAGAGCTGTACGCCGAGGCCGAGGAGATCAGGGTGCGTCTGGAGGCCAAGAAGCAGGAGCTGGAGGAGGTGCTGCAYGAGATGGAGGCTCGTCTGGAGGAGGAGGAGGAGCGCAGCATCTCCCTGCAGCAGGAGAAGAAGGACATGGAGCAGCAGCTCCAGGTCTTTGTTGCCTCTTATATCTTTTAAAACATTAAAATATACAAAGAATCATCAAATATTTTGACTTTTAGATGAAAAACCATGACTCAGCAGGATTTTTAGAGAACATGATGAAACTGCTGCCAACTTTGTGCAGCTGCAGTAACAGATGTTTGTGTGATCAGCTGATGGAGGCGCACATCAGGGAGGAGGAGGACGCTCGGCAGAAGCTGCAGCTGGACAAAGCTGCTGTGGAGCTGAAGGTGAAGAAGCTGGAGGAAGACGTCCTGCTGGTGGAGGACCACAACAACAAGCTGCAGAAGGTGAGCTCCTGCAGCTCTGAGTCTGTCTCCAGCACTCCGAGCTCAGCTGTGACTCAGCTCCTGTTCTGCAGGAGAGGAAACTCCTGGAGGAGCGTCTGGCTGACATGAGCTCCAACCTGGCCGAGGAGGAGGAGAAGTCTAAAAATCTGACCAAACTGAAGACCAAACACGAGTCCATGATCTCAGACCTGGAGGGTCAGTTCAGTCATTTATTACCTGCTCAAACCTCACAGGTGAGCTTTTATTCAGGTCTRCAGACACGAGGATCTGTAAGCAGCTGCCTGAAGACCCAGTCCTCTCTGCTGGGTCTCCTGACCACAGCTGGGTCCACCTTGTCTCCAAGCAGTCTGATCATCTGCTCAGATCCTTCATCTGTAGTCAAACTAAACATGTGTCAGCATTTATTTATCACTTTAATGTAGATAGATAGATAGATAGATAGATAGATAGATAGATAGATAGATAGATAGATAGATAGATAGA